ATGCATCAAAAGAAATAATAAAATCCTGGCAACATATATATATATATATATATATATAAGCCATATAAGCCAGACGGTAAAAAAATTCTTATAAGGATTTATAAATTCCCTCGGCAATTACTCAAGCTCAGCTGAGTTCGGCTCGGTCGCGCAAAATGAACTCGCTTGTGGGTTTAGATAAGAACTGTGAAAAACATAGTTGCACACTAATTACCAGATGAAACAAAAGATGCGAGAAATTAAATTTTTGTAAGCAAAAGCTTCTTTCTCATAGCATCTAGTTCCTTGCTTAGCATCATAAACTTGACAACTTTCACTCCCCTCCCTTTCCTCCTCACAATTCCGGTTATTGTTTCCCGTTCCTATCTCCAGGTCTTAGATTCTTCCCAGCCAATATCTTAGTCTTCCCCCCTCTTGTTACGATCTTCTACGGCCTAAATCAGCATCGTCAGTAAGCCCATCCTAACCAAGCTTAATGAATGTGCTGTTTTAATTGTGGATTAAAAATAAGAAAATGGTCAATGAAATTGCACAAGTAAGAAACTGTAATTTTTCTTATGAGAAATTCATGATTTTATGATTTCAAATATCCACTGAAATTTTTGAAAGATTAAAAAGTGGACAAAAGTCGGAGAAAGAAAAAAATCAAACTTCCAAATTAAAACAATAACCTTTGCAGTGCTTATCTTTTTGTTTCTTTGGTTTACAGAAGAAAAGCCAGAAACACTATCCAGGACAATTTCCAACGATCGAATAGCAAGCCGTGCCAATGCTATTGTTTGTAGCACCATACTGTAGTGTCGCAAAGATAAATGCACTGACAGTGGACCCGTAGTGGAATTAAAAGCTGATGCAGCTGAAATTTGCACATTTGTTCACTGTTCAAACTGAAAAATTTTTTTAAGTTTTTGCCTGCAAACACAGTCGGTTTTTTCTAAAAATGAGAACTCCAAGATCGGCCAGGTTAGTGATCAGTGCTTTTATTGGGATATTATAGGCCCTTTTCCTTCCATATCGGTAGACCTATTTCCCTCTCCCCCTCCCAGAAGGCTACGCTGGATCCGCCTTTCGCTATGCCAGGCTCTTTAACTCCATACTTTCAGTTAGTATCCATAGTATGTTCAATGTATGTGCGCTATTTCTTCAAATTTTGGCTCTTTGATTATGCTTACCAGTAACTAAATCATCGATTTCAATGGCACTTGGCAAACAGTGCAGCAATTTATCTTCATCAATTTGTGCAGTGACCTGAAAAAACCATCATAAAGGCTAATGGAATTATAAAAAAAACAAAAAATAATGTTAAAAAAATATGGCTAATGAAGCTACAAACAAGGAGCCATGATTTTTCTTCTAAAAAAATTTCGATTTTATGCTTTCAAATAAAGGATCCCAAATGTCCATTGAGATTTTTGGAAGACTAAAAAAATATCAAAATTTGAACGGAAAAAGTAACAATCTGAAATCACTTACACTGTTCGATATCAATTCCTTTACATAATCCACCAAACTGACTCCTGATCTTATCAAACGCATCAATAAATCAATTTTCGGCGTATTAACATACTCGCTGAGGTACAATGGCGGTGGTGATTGCAACATCTGTGGCTGAAACACAAAAATAAGTGGTGAAATTTATCAGGGCACATTGGAAACAACAGTTTGATCTTGTCACGTTTAGTTCATCGGCTCATTGGGCTACTCGCAGTTCAGTTTCGATTCGAAAAACTTTCAAAAAAAAAAAAACAAAGTGGCAAAACTGATAAAAAAATAAGAAAGTTGCTAATGAAGCTCCAAAAATAGGAAATTATAATTTTTTTTAAAAAAAAATTTAGGATTTATAGTTTCATATAAGAGATGTAAAGGGAGAGGGAGAGGTCGGGGAGGAAGAAAGGAAGGAGAGTTGGAAGGGAAAAAAACAGGGAGGATGCTGAGCAGCTGTTTTCTTTTGCTTTAGTAGAAAGATCTAAAATCGACGAAAAATGGGACACACCTCTTACCCTCTCCTCCTGCCAGAAACTACGGTAGCTGCTAAAACTCGGCCTGGCTCGGCTCATCTGGGCTCGCATCGGTCAATACACAATTTGCGATCTGACTCCCGGATGATATGATGAGGGAGAAGGGAGGGGGAATGCTGTCGTGTGCGGGCGGCAGGCATGGGGACTGGAGGCACGAGAAAGGAGTTGGTTAGATGGACTGAGTGGGAGCGTGACGCAGCCACGTAGAGGAGAGGGGAGAGGGAGGTGATGGGCGGAAACGAGGAGGATCCGTGCTGCTGCACATATCGCTGCATCACTGGAACGGGATTGTAATTGTTATTCAAGGCCAATGAATCAACTTATCGATGCATAAGTTTTCTGAAAATTCACTATACAAAATGTACGCTCAAAAAATTACCGCAGATGAATC